GCTGCACTGCACAAGCTGGTTGTTTTAACAGGCTGCTTTACATTACATTGCATTTACGTTAGACTGATAAAGATTTAGATAACTGAATGTTGGGACTCCAAGAAGTATGTTCAGGTACTATATAGTATTTGGACTCAGTTTGGGGGTCTTTCACACGGCCAGTGGTCCTGTTGGGGTATTAAGGAAACTCGGGTTGCTTTCATTGTGGCCTTGGTCTCATCTACATTGTTGGTTCTGGTGTCCCTCTTCACCTTGACAATGGATCAGGTTGGTTTGCTGGTCAGTTAAATAAAAGTGATACTGTGATCGGGATTGTATTGGCAATTTGATCATGTGTCAAGACCAATTGGATAAAATCAGAATTGCTGTAAAGTTTGGGAAGCATAAAATGCTATTTCTGTTTTTACAGTTGCACTGAATTTAAACAGCTGACAAACAAAAACACATGGTGTAATTTCCCACCCTCCTCCCTCAGTCGTAACTGATTGTGGAAAATTTACAGCTTATTCTGTAGCTCTCCACTGTTCCCCAAAATTCCCAAATTGTGTCTCTGTTGCTTGTGTATCTTTGAATTACCTCACTTTTTTTCTTCAACCAAATTTTATTTATTCTTAAATATATAGTCCCGTACAGTCCAGTGCTTTTTGGAATGACCTGCTGTTGCTTGCTCTCTTCATGGAAGTTGCAAATGACTAATGAACACAGCCCACATGACTGTGTGGGACGCAAAACAATACTTCTGTAATAATAAATAAATAACTTTTCTTATTGAATATGAGAAGGTAACTTCTAAATTTTTAACAGCCAAATTAAAAAAAACATAATGAAACAGAATATACATATCTAAGTGTGATCTATATATATGATATGTCAATTCAACACCGTTTCTAAAATAATTGAACTTTTTGGTAATATTCTGATTCACTGAGATGCACCTGCATAGAAATGCAGCTGAACAGCTTGAACTGAAAAACCCATTTATTATAAGCTTAAGTCAGCAGGAAGTTGGCCTAATGTCCACCGAAGTGTTTGTGTTTTTGCAGCTATGGGTCAAAGCCTCTGCTGTCATGTCACAGCTTTCCCATGACACCACACAGACACCTGGAAACACCTGAAGAGCAGACAAAGTGCTGCTGAGATGAGAGAAATGAGTTGAAATCCTCACAGCTCTCCTTTCAGTTCATCCGTGTTAATCTAATTACACATTTAGTGTGAAGTTTCACTTCATTGATTTTACTTTGTTTTAATCAGGATCAGAACTACATTTTCTAGCATGTCATGTGTTAGAACAGTAACAAGCACATCTAGATTTAAGTCTTAAATGTTTTTCTGTCTGTGCTAAATGTGAAACATAAATCCTCCCAAATGCAACAGTCATAAACAGTATCTTCTCGAACATTTCTGAGATTTATGCATTAGCTCCTGACATAAAGAACCAGATTCATTAAGAGGCACATGGATAACGTACATCAGCAACATAAGCTGTCTTGTAAAACCTTCTTCAGTTTGGGTCCAAATATTTCTGGTCACGAGTGTCAAACCAGATGATTTGCATTTTAACTGTACATTTTTAAGAACATGTTCTAACAGTCCTTTTTCCAGCATGGAATGACAAACAAGAAATGTGAATAACATTTAATTTATTGAAGGGACACATTTACACATACATCCACAAATATCCACTTAATATTTGATGAAATGTCTCTCAGGAAGGTGCTCCTCAATTACAGTCTTTTTGTAAACATTAACAAACTTATGTTATATTTCTGGATATTTGACTATTTTTAAAGCCATACATGGAACGAAGTATTTAATTTCATTAATTCCAGTGAGGTAGTTTTCTAAGCATAGTATTTTAGGGGTTGAAGTTGGTGCTTTGAAAAAGCCACTCTTGAAACCCAGTGCTGGGTTTCAAGCATTGGGTTTCAATGCTGTTAGTATGTGATGAAGCTGGACAACTATTTGGTAAATGTGACAATAATTTAGCCATTCACATTTTGCAAGGCCCCCAGTCGCACTAGTAGCAAAATAGTCCCACATCATGATGCTCCCACCACTGCTGCAGTTGAGACATTTTTTTAGCACTATAGTTTTCTTGCTTTGTTATAAAATGGTTTGCAGAGGAGATTTAGCTTTGAAAATCAAAACTGCAATCTGTCAGCAGCTGGACTACAGTATCATCACAGCAGCAGTTTGCCCTCAGCACTTGTGCTCCAGCTTGCGTCTTTACATTTTTAAGTGCCCTTTTCACGAGGAAGGATTAAAATGTGGAAGAAAGAAATTTGCAGCTATTTCCTGTTAATATCTTTCCCTTGTTGGGCACTAATGAGGAGGAGTCGCCCCTTCACTTTCAAGAGGGCTTAGCAGCAGTTAGCAACAGCTCCAGGCTGCAGGACAATAATCGCACTTTAACTCAGCTTCACAATGACTCACACCACTTAATTCTCCTTTTCAGAGCCGCCAGTGGAACGCCAGAGGCAAAATTAATAGATGCTAATGGCTGCCTTCCATCAAAGCAGAGCAGGATCCAAATATGCAAGTAAGGCCTATTAATTAACATGTGGAGCGGGCGAAGGAGATGGGGGGAATGGCATGGGGAGGCAAAAGGGGCACTGTGGTTCACATGGGCCTCTGCAGGGTAGCCCATTCAGACTGGAGGCAGGGGGCCTTTGAGGGGCTTCCCGGTCCACAATTAGTGGCTCCTGAATGGGCTGGCATTTGTCCTGCAGGTCCCAAAGCTGCAGAGGAAGGGACAGGTCCGGGCCAAGTCTAAGCCTGGTCTGGGCTGCGTGGGTTGAAACCAACATCTGGGCCTGGACTGCACGGCAGAACCAGGCATCAGTAACGTTGAATCCAAACTGTTTGTTTGAATCAGGCAGAGTGGACCAAATCAGATTTTCTCACTTAGGCTACTCAGGCAAAAAAAGTGTTTCATGTTTGTTCTGACAAAAATTCAACATTTAATATCTTACCTTTTTGTGTCGACATTCAATAAAACTGAGCCTTCAGAACCAAGAGCCAATCGGTCATTACCAAAACTACAAGTTTCATCAGATGTCAGTTTTTAAGTCAAACTCTTTGACTCATCAGCAGTAATTCCTCTGGACCAAATTGTTCCCCTGCACCTCAGTAACAGGTGCAAAAACAGAATAACTTACATACAGCATGCAGCCTTTATTCATACTCTGTTTCTGTAAAACAGGCTTTTTCAGACATAGAGACTTTAATTTCTATTTCTTCTACAGATTTCAGTGCTTAACATTTGACAATCAGGATACCTTTATTTGTTTATAGAAAAATCTGCTCAAAAAGATCTTCCCAGTTGTCTAGTTGTTATATAAAACTCTTTCTAAGGGAACCTTTTACAACTTCTGAGAAAAAAAAAAGTCTATTTTAGTGAAGTTTACTTGTTGATCTGAGAACTTGGGATCAACCTATAGTGTGTGATTTTTTTTTTTTTTCTGCTGGGACAGAAAAGTTATGTGGGATAATCTAAAGCCACCTTTTTTGTTATTTGGAATTAACAATCCAAATGCAAAAATCAAGTTAGAGTTTTTTTTTTTCAAATGCCTTTTTTATTATTATTATTTTGTAATAGTTTATTATTATTATTATTATTTTCATGATTGAGGCTTTGGATAACTTCCAGCTGAGCTGGTCGCAGTCAATTTTGACGGATGTGAAGTTAATTTGTCTACATTAGTCACAATACCAGGCTCTAACAAGTCAACAAGAACTGGAAGAGGAAATGGATCTGACCTTTGACCTGCAGGGTCACTGAGGGATGCAAAGACATGTTCAGAGTTCTTCTGTTGTATCTGTACAACTTTGACACAGCATTACAGCAACTTCAAACTAATGCAAATGTAATGACTCGGATGGATCTCTGTTAAAAAATATAAATAAACAGAATAGAATTATAGAAAACCATTAAAAACATGAAGCAGAAGTACAGAAAAAATTAAACCAGAATTGGACAAAATTTTGAAGACAAAAATAAGAAAATTAATGCCTTATTAGGAGTAGAAAGTAATATTTTAATTCAGTTCACAAAGGGTTGATTTACTTTTGTTATTAATGTTTTTTGGAGAGAAAAAGTGAAAGGTCAAAAATAAGGACATAAAAAAACTAATTAACCACACAACAAACAGAGACAAAAACAACAACTAAACATCACATCACTGATGCAAAATAAAGTGATGGCCCAAAGAATGAGGAAGGTCTGAGAGGACTCCTGCAGGAAAAAAAGTGAAAAGGAAATAAAAATACACAAATAAATAACCATAAAAATCAGAGACTGAAATAAAACTTATTAAAGAGGCACAGCAGATTAAACTCAAAGAAACACTTAATTAGAGAAAAAAAACTACATGGAAGCAAAAAAAAAAAAAAAAAATTATTTGAAAGAACAAAATGACTAATTTACAGTAAATAAAACTACTGAAAAGAAAATGAACGAAGCAACATTAACAGCAATGATTAAAAATATAACATACAAACTAAAACCTTATTTGTAATAAATACAACTTTCAGTAACCACACAAAAAATAAATGCTCTAAGTGTTTTTGTAATTAAACAAAACCAAACAATATTTATTATGTAAATAAGGGACACGTGCTGTGGTGAATATTCAGCGGTCAAACATTATACAATAAGAGATAATAAAACAAGGCTCATCATAGCAGGGGCAAAAAAAAACAAAAAGAAAGAAAAAAAAGCAGTACCGCACATTTATTTATTTTGTTCTTTTTGAAAACCCGAATATTTTTCAGCTCTTTAAATCGAACATGAGTCACTCATTACTGATGAGTTTTAATTAGCGTGCTTATTAATAATATTTGTTATGACCTCATATTAATCATCCTCATCATCACTGTCAGTCATTATCATCATCACCTTTGACATCCTCCTCCCCAACCAGCCCATCAACAAAATGGCTGTGGCAGTGGCTGCCTCTGCGCATGCTCACAGCACACCTCCGGCAGGTATGTGCGCTCGTGCAAGCTCTCCCGGTTCATCAGACTCCAGCATGAGGCGGCAGTAGGTTCGTGGAGACAACCACTAATCCGAGACCAACACGCTCAAACTCGGCTGCAGCAGCTCGGAGACTCCGCGCGGTTCCCCAATCTGGATCAAGTTTGTGATTTTTGTTCACGTTCTGCAGCGGAGGCAAGAAACTCTCGGGAGCTCAAATCTGGAATTTACGCACGGCTGGTGCGCACAGGCAGACAATCGGGAAGAGTTATGGGAGAACTGGGAATCTGAACCCCAAGAGTCCGAAGGACTGGACTAACTGGACGCGAATAACTGAAATTCTTCTTCATCCTCTCCGCTCAGGTGCTCATCATGTTCCAACACAGTAATAACAAGAAATGCTTCACCATAGAGTCTCTGGTGGGGAAGGATGCGAGCAGCCACAGCGGCGGCGGCGGAGGCAGCTCCGGGGATGAACCCATCCGGCCCACTGCGCTCCGCTTCCCGGACTCTCTGCACCCGGCTTCAGCCACCGGGGTCTTCGGCTCCTGCTTCCAGGGGGGCAGCGGAAGGACTTTGTTCTCTGCCGGGCCGGACATAATGTTGCAGGAGACCGGGGCGCACACGCAGAGCCCCGGCGGGCTCCCGCTGCACCCGCTGCAGATCCCCCCTCAGAGCTTCTTCAGCCCGCAGCATCGGGACGCGCTCAGCTTCTACCCCTGGGTGCTGCGGAGCCGCTTCCTGGGACATCGCTTCCAAGGTGAGCCGAGGGCGCGACGCCGCCACTCCACTCAACTTTTCCTCCTTCGTGTTGAGTTTGTCCGTGCTTTATCTCTGCTGATCTTCTAAGATTAATCCATTCCAGAAACGTGTCTTCTCCTTTTCACACTGAGTTAACACAACTTTGCTTCACGTGTTCAGATTAAAAGCTCAGATTGTTGCATCCAGAGACAATTTCTCATTATTTGGAAACCGCCCTCCCTCTCACGGAATTAAACTATGTTACATATAAAGTGGATCTATGGTCTTTCCCAAGCTTGAATGTTTTTGTGGCTTTATGATATAGAGCTGAATGGCGTCCATCATCAGCGCTGCATCACAGATCAATGGCAACTATCAATAGATCATTTATTTTTATTCATTAAAATAATCCTCTTGTTTGTAGTCGAAAACCAGTGGAAGCTTTCAGCAAGCATTTTGTGGGCTTATTTCTTTTGTTTTCCTTACTCTTCCTTTTTTTGTTTGTTTTTTTTTTTTTTTTTTTTTTAACTTTTTTTTTGTTTTAATTGATAACCAGTGGAAGACACGTTCGGGGCACGTGCAGCTGATCATATCAGTGATCAGAAAGAGTGCGTGAAGCGCAGCAACTGAAGGTTCGACCCAGGTCAGAAATTCAGAACGCAGATAGGATTTTCACTAAACGATGGTTAATATGTTTTATCATAAATTATTAATTAATTTTAGCCGTAAAATAATAGAAGTGCATGAGCAAATACAATAAAGCGGTTATGAACGTAAGTACGGAAAAACAATGGTGGGGCGTAAATAAAGTTAAACCAAAGTAAAATTTAGTGATTTATGGGATTATATAGAATAAAAAGCTAAATCTTAAATTAACGTTTTTGAAAAACAAACAAACAAAAAAAACAGCATACTAAACCAACTAAAAAAAACTAAAACAAAAACAACCAACGGAATGAAGGGAAAAATTAAAGCAATAAATAAATAAATACGTTTTAGTTTAAACTTGAAAACTTTTGAAAATTAATTTCTACCAATAAAATGTTATAATTTTGCAAACTGTTTCAGACAATTTTTTTATTTTTTATTTTTCGTTTTAGACATCTATAAATATCTACACATCATCAAAAGCGTTTATTAAAAAATAAAATAATATGACGAAATGACGGGGTTATCTTGTTTCCTCTTTTTTAAAATCCTACAAGTTTGAACAAAGTTTTCTGACTCCCCGTGAACTCATCTCACACCTGCGCCGTTTCGTCACGGCTGGAACTCATCAGATATTCTCATTATTGGTTGATTCAAATGTCACAGTTTTTCTATTTGTTTATGTTTAAAGTCTTGACTGCAACTCCTACGATTTTTTAAATTGTTTCTCTTTTCAAAACCTAATTGTTAATGTGTATAAAAAAAAGACTTTATTTCAAATACTTTTCCAGATCTTATTATTAATCTAATTAACCGTTTAGAAACTGTCAAAGTGTTACAGCAAATAAATCAAATTGAAACGCAACTTGAAGCCAGAAGGAGAAATCATATTAAACCATTATGATTCATCATCATTTCATTTTATCTTAATTGAGACATTATTCAAATTGCTACTTTATTAAAATTATAATTTTATTGAAGTAATTTATAATTGATCTCTGAAAAAGTTTCATAATAAACATTGTAATTAAAAAAAAATACCGTCATATATTTTCTTTAACTTTATTTTCCAATACAAATAGCAAAAAGTATATAGGCCTATTCATATGTTTCATAAAATGATTAAAAAACCACTTAAAATCCCAGATGTTAAATAAAACACATTATACAATTACTCATAAATTAGTTTTTATGTAGCCTAATTTATTTTTTACAAAATCATAAAAATCTTCTATTTCAGGCTGTCTAATGCCACCACTTTTTAGCTGTTAAGAAACATGAATTCTGGTATTTCATGTATACTCATAAAAAAGTTATGGAAAAGGCAAGATTGGCATATTTTTTTTTTTTGTGCACATTGAGTTTTTTAGAACAATTTCTAAAACATAATTTGAACTTTCTAAAGTTCAGACGTTTTAGCATCTTTAGTTTGAATTAACAATTTTATTTTTTCAAACAGATTTTTAAAGACATTTTTATCTCATCAGCTCCTTTGATGACTTATAATTAGTGTTCTTATTTTAAAGGGTAAATGAAAATAGAAATGCAGATTTTAACATTTATAAAGGGAATATTTGTTGCTGTTTTATTTGACATTTTTTCATTAGATTTTATCTTAGGTGAACATTTCTGCTTCACTTAACTTCAGCCTTGCAACACATTTAACAAAGAACCGAACTGTACGCCAGGTAAAAGATCTACTTTCAGAAGCGGATGAATCTGAGTCTCAGTGTGGGTTTGAGGTGTCTCTGATACCTGTCTCATACAGGTGGTCCCTTTAACCCTTTCTTGTCCACCTCCTCTTCCTCTGTCTGTTGCACCTCCTCTCAAACAGACACATTGGTCTTCATAATGTGGAAGCAGCTGACAGCCTCACTTCTCTTGCAGCTCCTGCTTCTCTGGCTCCAATTTACAACATGGAACAGTTTAACTGTCCTTGTCCTCACTTCTGCTTGACATGAAACATTAGCACTCACTAAATATAAAAACACGTCACATATTTCACTCTAATGCTTTTATTTAATGAGAACTGAGTCACAATAGAAAATCAATGTGTAAAAAGAGTCACCTCTCATGATCTAACTGCTTGTAGAATCGACTTTATTGCAATAAATCCAGTCATTTTCTCATTATATGGAAGTCGGGGAATTGTAGCTCAGTTGTCTTTCTAGCACTGCTTCAGTTTATTGAACTTTGTTTGTACAAAGCTATCTTAAGGTCCAAACACAGACTGAGGTACGAATGTTGGTTATTTTCTTTTTCAGCTGTTCTGTTATGGATTTGCCGCTGTGTTTCTGATCATTGTCCTCTCGATGACCCAGTTCCGCTGTCTGACAGGTGACCTCACATTTGATTTACAGAGGAGTTTACATTCAAGTTTGTGTGGTTGTAAAACAAGCCCAGATCATCACCTCCCCACCACTGTGCTTTGTGGTTTATACACTCAATCTTTAGTAATGATCATGTCCTGCAGCGTGTTTGAATATTTAACACGCTAACTTGCAGAGTCTGAGGTGAAGCACTTGTATATTTTGTTATTAATTGATGGAGTTCAGATTATTCCGTTAGATGGACAGATTTGTTTTTCTAAGATTGCTGATGTCTTTACTTTGCACAATGACACAATTGCATTGTGCTATTCAGTGTGCCCCAGAGCCAGGAAGTGCCAAAGAGTCATCATATCATAGATTAACAGAAGTTAATCTATGACTCACAACTTTTTTTTTTCAGCTTTTGTCAACAAAATAATGTATGTTAAAAGTATATGCGTATCTTAGTCAGGATCATTCATACTTCCCCAGATCAAAAGATAAAATCTGTCAGGTTTTATTCACAATCTAGAAAGCTGTTTTAAAAAGCTCACTTCATCTGGTTTGCATTCTGATTTTAGAGAAAAGTGTCTCAGTTTGGATGCTATCATGTGTTTTGAAAGTAACTGCAAGGAAGTAAAAGTTTTAATTTTCCTGTGTATGACAAACCAGCAGCAATAGTGGTGTTTTTCAAATTTATTTATTTGGAAAATTTGTCACTGTTATTTCATTGTTGCAAATAAAGTCATAATCAGAGAGTCAATGTGACAAAGCTTGTTTTGATATAGTTTGATGTTAAATCATTGCTTAGTTTTCTGCTCTGAGTTAAGCTTTTCATGTTTGCACAGATTAGGCCTTTCTTTGATGATATCCTATTTCTTTGAGGTCAGGCCTGTTAATCTTAACTAGTTCCATAAAATAAACTGCATCTTTGATGGCTCTGGTAGATTTAAACCTAAATGAAAGAATGATAGGATTCTAATTTACATGCCAAAGCATATCCGTAAGTTTCTTCTGCTTAAATTTGGTTTGTGCATTTATTTTGTTTGTTGAAGCAATTTAGGATTGATATCTTGAAAGATTCTATACAAATAATCTTCTACTTACTTTCATCTTACTCTCACTAAATCTAAAAAGATAAATGGAAGCGTGTGCTGTTTGTTGATGTGTTTAAAAACAAAAATTGGTGGCAGTGTTTAGTTTTTCAGATTAATAAAATATTTTTTTCTGTTGTTGTTTATGTTTGACCAACTGATCAGCCGATTTCTGGATGATTGTTCTTTCATTCATCAATTTATGCTTTTATTAAGAAAAAGCACAAGTTAAATTTTTACACAAAAAGTATCAATAAAAGAAGATTTCAATATAATAGTGTCAGTTGAACTGAATGCAGATGTTCACAAGGTTAATCGTCTGATGCAAACAGGTCTGATTTAGTTTAGAGGGTTTTTCTTTCCTCCTGTCTGCATTCTGTTTACTCCTAGTGTAACTATTGCTCAGAAAGACAGATGCTTAAATGTCTAAGGACTAGAACTGAGAAACATTTTCCTATATTAAATATAGAAATCACTAATGAGACATTAACCTGATGAAAACCATGAGAATTTATTCCTGGAAAGGCCAGAAGCTCCGTTTTAGCTGCAGTCCGTGTTAAAGTGCAGCAGGGTTTAGTATTTAGCCTAATCAGCTGCTTCATCTGCTGAGCACAATGCATCAACCATTGGATGAGTTGAGGAGTTACTACTGAAGGTTCCAAGTTAAACAGCAAGAGTGTTGACAAACTTTAGCTGGGAAATAGAAATGACAGTGATTTCTAGTTAATTTCTGATCGTCTGATGCTTCTCCCAAAATTGTATGTATCCTGATTCAGAGATGCCTTTTTGTTGTTCTCTGACTTTCTACTGTTGCTCATCCTTGTTCTGCATCTATGATGAAGGTTCATTCCGAGTTTATCGAGTTCCATGGCTTCCCTATATGAAAAGCTTAATTTAAAAAGGGATACTGCAGAAGCATCGGTCGCAAAATACCGGTAAATGCTAGTTTTTAATAAACATGCGTCTTAAAATCTTCAAGTTTTTCTGTCCTTGTTCATATCAAAATCAAAGATGTCACTTTATTTTCCAGATAAGATGTTAGCTGCCGATTAAACTTTGCAAATATCTCAATATCCATTTTAATCTCTGATTTGGTAAAATCTCTAAACTGAATTCTTCATTTTTGCGGATACATTTTTCGATTCGAGCAGTTGCTACATTAAAGCATCATTTGACATTGAACAGAAATATTTGCAAACCATGACGGCCACTTGTCACGGCTCTGAATTTGCATGTGAATAAGACGGCTAACGCCAGGTAAAAGGTGCCCGGTACGTGCCGACTCTCCGCCCGCCATCATTGTCGCACAGCCCGCTCTTTTGCGTAGAGCGTGATGGCGGCCGCAACTCCTTTTCAGCGTGCTAAAAGGAACCCAAGTGTACATTTGTTTGTATGTAAAAACGTATTGATAGATTTACGTGCTATTTCAATAAACAGTCAGGAAAAATGAAAGCAGAAGCTGGGCGTCGGTTTGGGGCGAAGAAACAAAGAAACCGTTTTAGCGTCGCTCTCACACGGAGTTTTCAACCACTTCGCCTCGTAAACAAATGAGACTGGAGTTCGCCCCAAAAGTTTGAAGACTAGCTTTAGCAGGTCAGTAAAATTAGACAAACCAAAATGGAAAAACGCAAAAACGATCTGCATGGAAATAAAGTCGGTTAGCGCCTTGAAGACCAAAATTTTAGATAGCTTGAGCAAGCAAAGCTGCAGCTGGTTAAATAGTTTTTCATTTGTGGTTTGAACATCGAAACGTAACTTCGATATTGGCCATAAAACAAAACAAACATTGTTCCCTCATGAAAAACAGATTATCAATCTCAGTGAAGTTTGTAGCTGGTTAAATTTTTTTAATTTCTGAACTTAAATATTCCTAAGCCCAGGTTGAGATACTGACTGCTATTTTTTATTTTTAGATTCTAATTTAAGATATGTCAGGAGCTCCATAGGATTTATTTTCTGTCAATCAAACAGAGTCTCCCCAGCGTCTGTGTTTTTGTTAATTTGCACGGTCTACCTTCAATCACAGAACATTTTAGATATTAAAAGTGGAAGTACATTTCTTCTGTTCACAACATCTTTCTCAGACTGAATGATGTTAATCTAAAGACCAAACAGCAATAGTTTCTAAATGTTTCACACTCAAAAAAAGGTTCTGAAGGTTATTTTTTTCTGCTGCAGAAATGAAACCCAGCAGAGCAACAGGATCCACAACCAGAACGCTGCCATCTTTTTTATGTTTGTTGAGTGTTTCAATTTAAGTTTGCGGCTCAACTCCTGATTCAGATGCAAATGTCAAACAGACAAGGTGTTTGTTCAGATTAGGCAGAACAAATAGACACACAAAGGCGTGTTGCAACAACTGGGACCTCTGCATTTTTGCTCAGTTCAGAAATAAAACTGAAGAAATGATCAATGCACGTCTTCAATGATCTAGACTTTTAGGGACATTTCTATGTTGGAATAATATGGGAGAAAAAAACGTCCTCCATGTTTATATCCTCACCATAGAGAGCAAAGACAGAAACATCAGTCAGTCTGACTGTTCAGGTCTCAGAGGTTTTGGAGTTTTTTGCTTTCAGCTCCAGTTTTGTTTTGATGGAAAAACATAACTGATTGCAACTGAAATTATCAAACACTGGCCAGTTGCTCTAATGAGGTCAAATAAATTGCTACAGAACTTATCTACTGAATGTGTAAATCTCTAAAATCTTCTTAACATGTGACTCCTGACTATGGTAATATGTATAGCTGTAGTAATATGAAAGTAGTGTTAGAGTCTAGATTTTTACCTATTTTATAGGTATCTACATGCTTTGGCATGACCTTATTTTTTATTTAATATTTTTTACATTGGTTGATTGCAGTCAGCTTGTGTCTCTGCTCCAACAGACCAGACTTAAATAACTGTAAAAATTGTGTAGAACTTGATTCAGATTTATTGGACCAGAGGAAAATTTCAAAGTTTGTGGAAGAATCGAACTGAAGGAAGAAGCTGAAACCACACTTCTGCTCAGTTACGAAATATAGCCTTGTTTGGAAAACTGTTCTTAAAATTATGTTACTGAAATAAATTAAACTTTCAAAAACACCCTAATTTACCAACAATGAAATGTGGCAATTTTAGATAAATGGCCCTGACTTCAGCCTTTCAGGCTGCAAACAGGAAGGTCTTTAGCCTCCAGATAAGATTCAGGACCAAATACAGCATTCCAAATTTTCTTCTCATCAAAAAAATATAAAGCAGGACGTCAAGGTAATCTACAGATGAGATAAACATCAGTAGGTGATATTGAACATGCCACTGGATTTGCATCATAAATTCCCTTGTTAAATAAACTTTTCATTTAGTGTAGCTTATGTTTTTTTTTTTATTTCCAATCTATTTTTTTTTTACAATTTCTTTCACAATTTTATTTTCATTAATGATTACCTAGTGGTCATCTGGATACATTACATTTTACTGCAGAGTGGTAATAAAATAAGTCAGTCGAACATCTAGAGTTCCAACTGTTTGACTTTTGCTTGTTTTTCAGGAGAGGACAGCAGTCCAGAGAACCTGTTGCTTCACGGTCCATTCTCCAGAAAGCCCAAACGGATCCGAACGGCTTTCTCACCTTCCCAGCTGCTGCGCTTGGAGCGAGCTTTTGAAAAAAACCATTACGTAGTCGGAGCTGAGAGGAAGCAACTGGCGAGTGGGCTGTGCTTGACTGAGACACAGGTGAGGCATCTTGGAAACAGAGGCAGAGGTGCATGATGGGGCAGTTCAGACAGGATGTTTGTTATGGTAAATACTAAAATTAGACAAACAAAGCTGACAGTACTGAGTTAAAGTCCTGAAGCAACAGATCTGCCTTAAAGCAGTCACATCATTTTATAATAATCTTGTATTTTAGTTGCTTTTGGTGTTTCTTTGTTACTGGACAGTCTATTCAAAAGAAACAACTGGATCCCATTTCTGGAGCTGAATATGTTAAGAATAGCACAGTTTTTGATCGATGGTAAATAAGGTTTCAGTTCAAACAGTTACTAACAACTCTGGAAATAATGAAACAGTGGGACACATAAATCACTGCAGATGTGACTGATATTTTTCAAAACAGATACAGAAATGAGGGTTAGCAAATCAGTTCAGCTTGCCGAGTCTTGCCTTAAGCTCCACCTGAGTTTGCCTTAATTATTTTTAAAAGCAGAGTAAAGCAAACAGGTTTACCAAAGTATACCAAGGAAGATTTTTTCTTCTTTTGTAATTTATCAGACATATTTGATACCAAACTCTGATTCAAATGCAGACGGACGGGGATCTGTTCTTACCCTTAAGACTCTTTGGAGTTTAATTGCTGCCCTCAGTTTCTTCTTGTTAGTTTTTGAGAACCGATCACTTTTCCTCAACGAGGTTTAAAATCACAGATCTAATAAACCAAAGGTTCATAAATTTTCTAAAGTGATAAACTATATCTATTTCTTTGCAGAAGCTTTTGGTAAAGCTACACTGCAGATGTTGCTTGGTCAAGATTGATCAATAAACAGATCCACACAGTTAAAAAAAAAAACATTTTTGGACACAGCTGATTAATCAAAGACACTAAGGTGGTTTTAGTGGCTCTTGTTGCAAATTTATGTCACACCACTTGTACAGTATGCCTCTCATGTCTGTTGATGCATTTTCAGGGCACACCACCAATCATACAGCCATAAATACTTGGCTGTCATCTAGTCGATAGAACTATGCCAGATCTTGACTAAATTAATAATCTTCACACTAAATCCACCACAGGCACACACACACACATGCACACCCACACGCACGTATATACATACATTATTGTTGGCTGTGATGTCAGTGTGTGTTCTTTGCGTTGTGAGGAATGCTGAGTAGGCAATTAGTCAGCAAACTCCTTCTTTTCTCAGGATGGTGTTTGTCATGGAGTCGGCGCGGTGGTTGGACTCCTGACGCCAGTGAAACGATGTGATTCATAAATTATGAGCTCATTTCACAACAACAGACAGGAAGAGAAGGACGCAGCACTGCCAGTCACTTGCCAGCAGTGGTTATTAATCACTCATAAATCACAGCTTTGTGCAATCAGAGTGCCTTTACAGGCAGTAATGATCAAGTGATCAACGTTCCTGTGGGACAACTCAGGGCTGGCATCCAAATAAGCACCAATAAATTTTTAATTCTTGCCCTGCAGAAAAAAAGTGACTCAGGTCTTATAGAAATATATTAAATTTATGTTAGTTTTCATAAGAATCATCTAAACCACTGTTGCGTTAAACAACTGAATCTTTACACTGAGAGTGAAAAATGTTGGTGCTGTGCATGTTTTCGATGTTTGTTTTTGATGTGTGAATAGAACTGCTCCACCAGAAAAGTATGTCATTATTGGATCTGACTGATCCAAGTGAACTGTTAATGTAGAAAATATTCATGCAAAATGTTGCAAAAGAATTGCCATTCTGCCATCCAGCACAACTCTGCTCAATTTTCATCTGTTTCAGTGCTCCATCTGCCATTTCGCCCATTGATCTAGATTTTTCGGGTAGGATTTCGATGGGTCAATCAGTGAACAGAAGGAGAACTTGTGAACAATGATACACTGTTTTAGAATTGTGGCCCGCTTGTAGTTATAGCAATGGCAGCACACGGAGCGAATGAAGCTGTTCAGTACATGTTGTTGCAAATATTGAGTTAACATTAGCGGCCATCTCATTCAGCAGAACACTTTTCGCAGTCGCACATTATTTTTTACCTTGGAGGCAAATTATGGTAAGCTTCATACTGTCATAATCAAATATTATCAACTGTATAAAATTTGAAGCTTTAACAGGGCCCATGCCTCCAGCAAGCAATTGTTTCTCAATAGCTGTGGATCTGGAGCTTCTCTGCAGAGCAACACAAAAAACAAGAGAGTGTTTTCATTAGGCTAATATGTCTTTAAGAGGTAAAAGGTAAAAATCTTGCAGGCTTGCTGCACGATGCTCCCCAAAAAGTTTTTTTTTTTTTTCTCTCTGGTAATTTTTGCACCAGAGAGATGCTTCCTTTCATGCTAATAATGTCCTAGATCTTAAGCAGCCTATTCACATTTCTATTCCTTGAGGTACACTGCATGGGACCACAACCCAGTCCAGAAACTGATACAGCTCTCTCAGACTGTATCATTGGTATCAACCTTCGGGTCCTTTATCTGTGCCAGGATGTTTTTAATGATCTTGTTTGATTTGTGAATCTTCCCTTAAAATGGGACAGGCTGGGCTATATGGTGGACCAATGGGAGTCCCCGGTTCCCTCTGGCTTCCTCCTTCTAAACATGTATGTTAAGCTAATTGGCCAAATTCTCCTTTGTGCAAGTGTTAGTATGTCTCTATGTTGTCTTGTGATGGACTGACAATATATCCAGGGTTTACCCTGCCTTACATCCATTGATCACTACAAATAGAAACCATGTCTCAGGACCCTGAATGCCTTAGACAGGTACAGAAATATTTGGGTGTCTGGGTCTACACTACCAGTTTTGAAAAAGTGGCTTTTTTTATCAACCAGGGGGAAAATGAAGAACAACTAAGCATGGGCCAGTATTTATGGCCATATGAGAATTAATTTGCTCATTACAGCTGGACAGAGAGTTGCAGTCTCTTACACAAAGTGCTGTCAGTGTAGCAAGGTTTTAGCCTTGGTATGAGGCTGGCATGATCAGTCAAACTTGAAGTTGTCCATTACAAATCATGCCAGTATGCGTGGGCTCTACATGGTGGATGTGCTCCCTTTTGATGCTAAGCAGCAGAAGTTTATCTGTTGGGTAATTCTTCCGAAAACAAACCCAGCCAGCTTCATTAGAGTACTTTTTAAAAAATTGTTTCATATTTATCCAAATAGCCTGTGTTTTCAGCTATACAGAAATCAGTGTACAGAAACATTAAACAAGGAATTTATTAACTTACTTTAAAGGCTACTTTAAAATATGGTAATAAAATCAGTTCTTACTGATTACTCTTGCATTTTCAGTTTGTACTAATGATAAACAACAAAAACCTGATTTGATAGATTAACTGAATATATCAGAAGAAAGTCTTCCACTTAATGTTGTCTCTTCTTGTCTTTGTTCTTTCTTCACTGTAAAGAAGTGTTACTTTGAATTCTCAGTAGAATCTGTAGTAAACCTATCTGATGTTTGAAGGTAATTTGAGCATCTATCATGCTGATCTAGAGTTTACAGCCTCTGACAGATTGCGCAACAAGATCTTGGAGCCAGCTCAGCGAGTTTGAACAACTCTGCATGTCATGGTCATGTTTTACCAGCGAAAAGGTCTTAAATCACTGACTTGCTCTCACACAATCATTGCTATCAGTGACAGAATCGCAGCTTGTTGTGGTTGTGGCTGGTAGCTGTGTGAAGGTTTCCAAATGGCTCGTCATTGTTCTCAGGCATGTTTGCAGTTGGAAGAAACAGCTTCTGTGTTTTTACTACCCAAAACAAAGTGCATTCTGTGGGTTCCAGTATATTTATTTGACAGATTTTGATCAGACAGAACTTAATTAGTTTAATATCATTGGAATCGGGAAGACAGTAAAGCATGCTTCGTGTCTGTAAATCATTTGTGAAAAGATTCATCTTTAAATGTGAACACAAGACACATTTACTTGACTTTGTTGCTGGGACAATCATTAGATCTAAACTGCTGGAACATCTCTGGAAAACATCAAAAATCATAACACCTACAAGCAGTAGAAATCTTCACTGGTCACCGACTGTCACATCTTCAGACTCCATAATGTTTTTTTCTAAAACCCTGCAGTTGAAACTTCTGAGCTTTTCTCTCAGGCACAAAATTGGCATTTGGGAACTTTGGAAGAGTTAAAATGAATTGAATTGGTTAATGAATTGGTTAATTTTATGCTTAACCCAATTTATTTATCAAAATGTGAAAACAAGCTTTTTAAAAAAATGTCATAAAATGACATAAATCTATTGTTAGATTTACATCCAAGCTTCATATGAACCTTGTATTCTGATGTGACTGCATGTGATTGTGTGTGCAGGTAAAGGTGTGGTTTCAGAACCGCAGGACGAAGCACAAGCGGCAGAAGTTGGAGGAAGAGTCTCCTGAAGCTCAGCAGAAGAGGAAGGGCAGCCAACACGTCAGCCGCTGGAGAGCGGCGACGCAGCAGGCTGGCAGCGAGGACGTGGATGTCATCAGCGACGACTAGACTACAGCTCTCTCTGCGCCATCTCATATACACACACAAAACACATCATTTTGAATTAAAAAAAATCAACTGCAGAATGAAACTGAACACACATATGAACATGCACACACATGCACACAGACACACAAACGCATACACACAGGCACAGACAGCTTTTATTGACATGGACTGATGGATGTACAATGAACCTTTCTATCCTGGACAATAGAAAAGGAAAAGAAAAACAGAGGGTTGTTTTCCTAGGAAAAAAGAAAACTTTCTGTCAGATTTGGACTGACAAGGCTTTGATGCTTCCAAGAGGCAAAAGAAGATAACAACCTGACTTTGGTTTTGGTGCCAAACAAAGACTGTGTCCTGAAAATTAAACAAAAAAAGACTTTCAAATCTGCTGGGCTGCAGGTTTCTGAACCAGCTCGCAGGCATTCTGGGAGACAGGAAGGAACCTTCCTGGAGTTTCTTCAAAAGCATTAGTCTGTGAGATTCTTGATAATCCACAGTGAAGGTGTTTGAGGCAAAGCTGCTTCCAAAACCCTCAAACTGAAAGATTTTGAGTCTATTGCTTTCCCCTCAATTTTCAATCAGGAATGCAGATGATTAGATGTGATAAACTCAAAACTTATTGCAAAAATAAGTAAACCCAATTAAAAATGTTTGCAAGATTGTATTTTCCTATCCTGTGTTCCCATGTGCAGTTAAATTAAAGCAGATAGAAACAGGACTCCTTCACACTGGATGAAGACCCTGCAATTTTTTAAGAAGCCTGCAAGAATGTAGAGGCTTTTAGATGGTAATTAAGAATCAGTGTGCTCCCTCATTACAGGTGATAAATCATACAAGTTCTCTGAAGATTTCAAGAATGCACAAAACTTTCTTATCAAAGTGGTTTATCTGTAAGACAACAGCATCAATAGAAAGGGTTTTAGTCTGAGGTGGTAGGATCATTGTAGGAGGGTCTTGAACTCACACCATGAATGCACGGTGTGAGTTCAGCTGCTTAGTGAGTAGTAAGAGTGAACCAATTGCTGCAATCCAACCACATTCTTATAAACTGAAAAAAGCATGAGTGGCTCTTTTCATGAGGAATGGAAACTAAATGGATCTGAACAAACTTGTATGGAATACACTTAGCAACATGGCAGATGACTTTCACTCTAAACCCCGAATTTGGTATCTCCTCTTAGTGTTGACTCAGCTATTCATTTCTGAATGCAAAATCTGAGCTGAGCTCAATTTTTTTAGGCCTGTTGTTGCATCCTGTCTCAAAATCTGGATTGTTCAGGTTCCTTTATGGAGAGCTAATTCAGCAGCTTTTGTTTTCCTCACCAACGGAAAAAAAATCTGGAATGCCAATCTTTGTTTGAGGTAACTATGTAAGCGAAATCTGACATGAAAACTACACACAAAAAAGAAAAAAAAGTGCATGGAAATGCAGCTTTTCATTTCAAAACACAGCAGCAAGGACAGAAACGAGCAGGATCCCACATCAGTTGTCTTTTTTGGGGGGGAGAATATTCATATTTATGTAAAAACTGGATGAGAAAGTATTCTATGCATCTAATGTGTGTATATAATGATGATAATATTATTAATGACAATATGTGTGTTTGTTTGTTTTTTTTCTCTGCATCAGTACATTGGTTTGTTTCTTCCATCTGGACAGATTTACCTCATCTTCTCCTCATGTAGCACTTCTTCTACTTCTACTTAGTCAGATCTATTTTTTCATTCTGTTAGGACCGAATGCACAAACTGTACAACCTCTGAGAAGATGAAAGGAGCTTTGTACTCCCTGTGCTCAGATTGGAGAAATAAAATAAAATAAAAAAATAAATAAAAGAAATACAATTAAAATGTTTTTTTGTTTGCTTAATTAGTTTTTTATAGTTGACTTTCTTTTCTAATTTTGATTTTTCTCTTTAGGTTGATTTTCTATTTATTGATAAATGGAGTGACTCACAATGTTCAAAATAAAACAAATTTAACGTCATCATTTCCAATTAAGTAAATAAAATTTTTTGTTCTCTTTAAAATGTTGTATTCATTATTTTTGCATTTCTCTAAATTATGCTCATTTGAATCTGTTTACATTTGAATTTATAACAATTAATATTTTAATCTATTAATACTAGTAATCACAGTTTAGCAAACTAGGAAAACTACAAGTTTCTAGAGCTAAAATTCAAAAATACAATAAAACTAATAAAAACAATTTCAATATTTAATACAATTATTATTGGAGTAAATAATAATAAAAAAAACGTATATTAATGCTACAAGATATTTATTTTTGTCCATTCCCAATAGTTCTGCATGAAAATGACAAATGACGATTTGGGTTAATTTAAATAGCACGAGCAACTTCTTACAACATGGGATCAAATATGTGGACGTCAAACAGACCAAATATCCAACAGAGGACGCAGCGGCTGGTTCTGTTTTTTCGGTCCTCATGCAGGACGCAGCTGATCTGCGGCAGCCGCAGCGGTTCCCGGCCTGGTGTCCGGGCTCCACCTACAGCCTGCGGCCTTTTGTCGGCTTCAGTAAATCCCTCAAACCCGCCTGGCGGATCCTGCAGGTGACGAAGCAAAACCATCTTTACGGCGATGCTCCTGTCCTGAAAAAAGAAACAGAGGCTGTGCGATTTGTTTACGGTTTATTTTCTATCTTCTGACTAAAAAAAACTATTAATAATAGTAATAATAATTTACAAAAAATACACAAAACAAAACGAGTTCGATCTACGAGTATGCAAGTTTGGTAACAGCGCACCAATATTCTCCATATTATTGAGGAGACAGAAATAATTTTTAGTCTAAGATTTAGTGAAGGCATTATGAAAAAAGTTTAAACAAACAAACAAATATAAAGATCGAGAGGCTAAACGAGCCTCAGATCTGAACCGGGAACAGAGAGTGAAATTGTGTGACTGAAGAGGCCTTTTTGTTTGTTGCGTAAATGTTTGATTAGATGGGGCGGGTCACTAATAATCTTAGCAGAATTGTAAAATCAAAAGTCATGACAGAATGTCCGGATCTTTCATACTCAGGCGAAAGTGAAGCCATCTGCAATTTGAGACAGAGCAAACTGACTTCCTAGAAGGAGGTTCTTCAGATGATGTATATTCTCTGCATCATCTTACACAAGAAGATGATTGCAAAAAATGATTCTTTCCTAGTGGTGCAGCAGCATTAGAACCAGAGACTTAAAAAGCTGATAAAGAAGGCTGACTGCTCTGTGGAAGACACTGCGATAAAGGATTCTTCATAAAATTATGGACGGACTGAAACTGAATTTTATAAACTAAACTGAATTTACTTGAAAGAGGGAAAAAAAAAGAAAGTATAATAACACAAATAGATAAACAGATTAAAGTACATTTTGTAAAGCATTCAAACTGAGTAGCATTGATGTTTGTTTTGTGTTGTATCCCATTATTTTATTCAATATAGATTCTGGCTTCAAATTGAAAGTGTCCTTGTTTAATTTTTATTTTCTTTTAACTGTGGTATTCTCCTTCTCCTTTGTTTTCATCCTACTTCGAAGTCCTGATGTGGGAAGTTCACGACTAAGAGGAGCTGTCACTTTGATTGATCTTAACAACTGAGCCATACAGTCTTCCTGTGAGCCTCTGTCTGACCTGACCTGGCAGTGTAGATGGACAGCCATGCCTTGGTAGGCTTGCTGTGGAGAAATAATCCTGTTATTTTGGGGTGACAGACTGAACAGTGCTCTGTTACGTCATCAAAACTTGGGACGTTATTTTGCAATCAGAACACAATTTTATCCTTGACCACGGGAGTCTATAGAAAGTAGTCAAAGAAATGATGGCACAATGTGGGCTATACACTTGGAATTATTAAAAACGTATAGGGTTGGATTTTGTGACAGTATAAGTGTGGGAGAGACATTTATTCATTTCAGCTGCATACAAATAAATTAATAACTCAATTAGGGCTCTCATCTCATATTAAAACAAAGATACTATCAAATATAAGACCAGCAGTGATAGTAAGGTCAGTGACAGTTTAAGGGAGAAATACACACAAGTTAAGTATTTATTCATTCAGTGGCTTCAGCAGATAATTGGCTCTTCTGGATTTTAGGGGCATCAGAGTAAAGGAGGCAGACCAAATGCATGCCAGACTTTCTATTTGTGAAAGAAAATCCATGTATTATTTTCTTTACAATTCGAGCACAAATGCTTTTTTGCTCAGCCTATCACTTAAAATCCCATTAAAATACACTGAAGTCTGCAACTGAAATGTGAAAAATTGTAGAAAAGCTCAAGGTGTATATGGCTTTGCAAGGTGCTGTGAGGATCCTGCTAACACCTCTAAGCCTCCAGGTAAAATGAGTGAAGATTTAACACAGTTCCTCAGGGATTTATAATATAAATACTTAAGAGAAAATATCACTAATTCAGAAAGAAACAGAAGAAATTGACACTGTATATTAATCACGAAGATGCTTTTGAAATCACAAAGTTTCATAACAAGTTTCAGTCGATAAACTGCCCAACATCTTTCACTTTTGTCCCATAAGTGTGTATTTATTTTGCTATTCAAAGTATAACTTTCAAAATTTTCTCCAAATAATTAGTAAGGAGCCCTTGAGTAATTTGAAAACGAACTGTAAGAAAATAATTTTACAAGTGATTACGTCCTGGTGAGTGTTTTTTTTTTTTTTTCACAGTTGAACATTTTTGCTCTGTTGTTCATTGAAGTTTGCAACACACTTGTTGTGCTTGTCGACCTCCAATCAGCTGAGAGCCACAATTACCATCAATCTTCTCAGTGTGTGTTGGATCAGTGGGGCTCAGCAGCTCGGTCGAGTTAATCAAAGTATTTATCCAAACAAGACAAATTAACTTAACTGCTCATGATCAAACCACCTTCATCAACCAAATCAGCCTAATTAAAACATCAGTGTGGGTCACTTTGCTGCTAAAATGGCTGCAACTAGAAATCTAGAAATCTGCTCCCTTTTAGAAACAATTTAGACTTATGTAAATACCTTGATATACTCACCTTAACATATACTGGGAAGACAATTAAAAGTGGTTATAAAGCTTTCTAAACATTGCTTCTTTTGAAATTGTGTAAAACATTGCTTTGATTTTTAACATTTGTGGTTTAGGATTTAATTTACATTTCTACAAGACATGGTTGAGAAGACATGAGGAGGATTTTGAGAGTATGGTTTCAGAAAGTTTTCTTCATTGCAGAACCCTTGTTGGAAAAAATAGAAAATAAATAAATAATAAACATATAAAGTCATAACCTCATACACAAGTTAGCATAGGATTTTATCCATTTTATTCTCTCCTGTTTTCTTTTCTTACATGAACTGCATTTTAGAATGAATGAATTTCCAAAACAAATGCTCTCATTTACATATTTTAATAGTTTCTTAGCAAAAATGAAACATTTGATGAGTAGAAGTTTGTTCTTTGTATTAATATTCATATAATTAATTTAAAAGCAAGTTATGGGTTTAAATTACTGGTATGGGTCCTCATAGGACTGAACCGAGTATCTAGTGCCTGCAGGCATGCAGACACTCAGCACACACTGATTGTGCCTTTAGGAGAAATACTGTGACTCTTTCTCTGTGAACTTTTCAAAGTTTGCTCCTAAAGCATACATTGTAAATCTTTCATTCATCCAAACAGAGTGCTGGTTTATGCGCGACACTTAAAAAACCCAATTTCTCCAAGTTCAAAGTTTTCAAAATATTTTACATGTTAGCTTTGTGGAGAAATTATATATTTGATATTAAAATTTGTTTGATGATCTGGGGCATTTTACAGACAATTTGTAGTTAATATCCTATAGCTAAAATTAATTAAACAAGGTTAAAAGCGTAACAAAAACTCATTGGGCTGAAATTACTGGTAAAGATGTGTCATTGCTGTCATTTGAATCCATTTGTTTATATAACAGTTTTGATGACGCAAAAAGGGATTAACTGACACAAGCACAAACAAGATTCACACTATGCTTGCAATAACCTCCAAGTATCCCTCAAGTCTGGAAATAAAAAGTATCTGCAAAGATGAGAATGTAATTCTTCAAATTTGCGGTGCAGCATCTAATGTCTCCTAAGTATCATTCTCGGGGTGTGAACAGCTCAACAATGCAACAGAAAGAGTAGCGTGCATTTTAGTCTCCCTGAAAACGTCATAAAAAAAGAAACAGAACATCTATAAAAGTCAGTGATTCATCACTGTTGATTATCAACCTGTATTTATTGACTGCTGCGCCTCACTAACTGCCGTTTATGAGTACAGAGATGATGGATGGGTTAATGTTCCTCCCTCCTCAGCTGCACAACGGAATAAATGTCAAATTAACACAAAATGCGGTGGCTCGTCCTGAATGCCGTAAACTGAACCCCTTAAAAACTTTGTCTGAAAAAAATTAAAAAGTCCCTGCCAAGGAGCTGACAGTTAAAACATCCTGACAATTTGTTGCTGTGACAACAGAGCCAGTGGGCGTGGCTCATGTCACCTGTGATGGGTTAATGATGGGTTTTCAAACGCCGAGTTGCATTTATAGACTGGAAGAGCTGGTTGGGGTGGAGGAGGCACTGCTCCCAGATCAGCTTCAGGCTTCGGCGCAGGAAGGAGAGCAGCGGGAGGAAGACCTGGTTCTGAATCAGAGCCCGCCGGCCACCTCACCTCTCAGGACTCACCACCTGGACCAGCTGCTGTAATTGGCTGAGAGGAACTCATGGGAAAATGATTGGCTGCCTCCAGCAGTGCAGCTTGGCCCGTAAAATATGAATCACTAAAGAATCTCTAATTAAGAGTAATGACTCCTGAGTAACGAGAAGTGAGGCTGGTGTGAGTGTGCAGAACAATGATTGTGATGATTACAGGTAATCGCAAAGAAAATAAGGTTTTATTCTGAAGTTAAAACTCTGCTGCAGACTGAGCACTCTGTCTTTTAATTTACAGCTTAATTTCCATGGTGCTTATT